AATTATACAAATATCATTTCCCTTATCTTTATTATCTATTGATTGCTTAATTTGGCCAAAGAAAGATGATTTTACTCATCATAACAATAGGCACTCATGACAATTTTTTTATTAACTAATTAAAATCCTCCCCCTTTTTAGCTTTGATTATGGTAATCAAGACCCGGCATATTCCCACACTTATCCATTTGAAAACAAATCTGCCAGCAAAAATGCGTCGTCAGTCACCTTTTCAAACTCACGCCACCGCTGCCATCTACGATACTCAACGTGCGTACTACGCATTCGACGTCCACGTCATCTTAATTCCCACGACACCTGGCAACACACCAGCGTCTAGATGTGTAATGACATCAGCCAGTCACGGTGCGCACCGCGCACCCCGGTGGTCTTTATCAAGCACCGTCCAGGATTTTGAATTCTTTTCAATGCTTTGAAATTGCAGAGTTAGATTTACGACTGTAACTTTAATTTCCCCTCCAATTTCTCGTCGCGGCGTTGTCCCGTTCTGTGACGTCCGTCTCTCTTTCTCTCTCTGTCTCCCCTCCAAGTCTCCTGCTCGGAGGTCTCATGGAGTCCACCTCTCTCTTATGTCTTTCCTAGGGTGTCTTCTGTGCTCCTGGAATTGTGTTCTTGCTTTAAAATTGGCTGAAATGAGGGAGAAGCCTGTGGAGATTTGTTGTTTCTGTTGAAATTTATTCGGAGGTTTAGGTTTTTAGGGTTTTTCAGAGGGGAGTGCGGTTTTGTGTGTGTGTTTTAAAATGCCGGTGAATCGATCTAAGTCGGAGAAGAATGATGCCGCCACGAAGCAGCTCCGGCGAGACCCCTATGAGGTGCTCGGTGTCTCCAAGAACTCCACGGATCAGGAAATTAAGAGCGCGTACCGCAAAATGGCTCTCAAGTATATATAATTTTTCATTTTATTAGTTTTTAGTTCTTCTCGCGTTACTGGAATTCTTTCTTCTTTTTTTTTAATTATTGTCGGTGGCTGTGTTGAACTTTGTGCCTCTAATTACTAGCAAGATCAGTGTTAGGATTTTTATTTAGCGCTTTGATTCTTTGAACATGCAATCATTATGTTTTAATTAGTCATAATTTGGTTAATTATATTCTTAATTGAAAGCATATTTCTGAGACCATTTCTTTCGCCAATTGAAGCTTTATGAGAAACTTAGAATGTGGTGGTTTAGCCTCCTGTCAGCGTTTTCTTTTGATAGAGAACCAGGAGAGATCAAGGAGTATCCAGGGAAAATAATATCCCTGGATTAGTCTTTGTTCAACAGAGGAGGAAGCATTTGCTTCATTGTTAAGCCAAGTTTTCTCCAATTTGTATATACGGGCATGGGGATGGGAGAAGCAGACAGCTAGATCTGTTATAGAGTTATAGTTGATTTATAATGTTGCTTAAATTTATGGAATGGATCCTCACTTTAGAAGCGAGGTTTGTTGCTGGGGACTAGTTAAATCTTTGAAGTTGCATTATCTGAGAGACCTGAGTTTTATGTGAGTAAGTTCTTCTACAGGTTGTGGTCATTCTATTAGTCAAAACCCTTCAAAGGTTAGTTATAGAACATGGAGCAGTGATTTTGTAACCTGATGCCATCGTGGAGTATGTGTGGAACAAGAACTTAAGTGATATGCCTAATAGGACTGAAGGAAACCATGAGCTGTGTCACATCTTATTCTTAAACACTTACATAGATTTTGGTATGTCAAATTAACAGTAGGCAGAGGTCTGCATAGGGGTGTTCTGCCTATACCTTGGTATTTTAAGAGCATTTTGGGTCAAAATGTTATTGTACCTTTTGGATCATATAAATCCAGAGAACAACTAAACTGCAACAAAACTCCTAATAGGACAAAAAGAAACCCTGAGTTATCAAATAGCCTTTTAAAGACTCAGATTCTTCAAGCAAATGCAATGAACTGCCACTATTTGTTCAACCCTGTTTTATTTTTCTCTGAATTCAGTGAGATCTACAATTTGCTATGTAATGTTGAACTTCACTTTCTAAGATTTATTAACGATTTGATGGCTTCATATTGTATCCCTGCTATTATTCTGTGGCCAAATTTACTCTATCTTGAGGAGCTCCTAATATTATATTTTTCAGGTACCATCCTGATAAAAACGCAAATGACCCTGAAGCAGCTGACATGTTTAAGGAGGTTACGTTTTCCTATAACATTTTGTCTGATCCAGACAAAAGACGCCAATATGATACTGCTGGTTTTGAGGTGAGATATACATGCATGTTTAATATTTTGATCTCTCTAAGACTAACAGGAGCAGACATATTTTCAGTTTGTAGAATTAACAGTATTTGTTGTGGGGTCTGCTTTTTAACAATTAAATTGTGTGTAAGTAAAACTTCTATATTTAATTAGCATGAAGCTCTTTTGAGCATGATGTCATGTGATGGTCCTGCGTGTAGGCTGTTGAATCAGATAGCCAAGAATTGGAGCTAGATCTTTCAAGTTTGGGGACCGTGAACACAATGTTTGCTGCTCTTTTTAGGTAATTTTACATATCTGCTTTTGAGCTTCCTCATTGTATTTCAGTTTGTTTAATTTTATATTTTGATGGTAGTATGCATTGGCTTACACTTTTTCCTACCTGATAGTAAGCTTGGTGTACCAATCAAGACCAGCGTATCCACGACAGTTTTGGAGGAGGCACTTAATGGAAATGTCAACATTCGCCCTCTTTCACTGGGGCAACCTGTGTCTAGGAAAGTGAGTATTTGTCTTCCGACTTATGTTTTGATATCTAGCTGTGTTGTTATTGATCTTTTGCACCTCATTCACAGGTTGAGAAGCAAAGTGCTCACTTCTATTCTGTCGCAATAACAGAAGAAGAAGCAAGAGATGGATTAGTCTGCCGAGTACAATCATCTGATAAGAGCAAGTTCAAGGTGTGTAGACCACTTCAGAACATTTTCTGTCAAATTGTTTAGATTGGGACATCGACTACTGCCTAGCTGCTTGACTGCTTGTTTGCTCAAAGATTTCTGTACTGTTTCTGCCATTGAAATTATGCTGACTAGAGCTTTTTATGTATTATGGTCTGTAAAATGATACCCAAGAGGTGCCCTTGGTGATCACAATCTCTACCTGTCTCTCTGACTTGAGCTTATTAAATCTGCTGAACATTTGTAGTATTAAACTAGCTGTGGTGTGTGCTCCAAGTTTTACCCTGAGCTCATCTGAGCCTGTAGTTTTAGAGAGTTTTGTGAAGGAATGTTGTGGTGTGTTTAGTGTGATAATATTTTCACTGGTGGTATCAAAATGTTAAAGCCAACCAATGGCTTTGGTATATGTAAATTGATATTAATTTTTTCTGACGAATAATTACTAGTTTTCTTTATCATCGATTGGTTTTATGCAGTTATTGTATTTTGATCGAGAAGAAAATGATGGGCTAAGCCTTGCACTGCAGGTAATAAGCATTTTTTTTCCTATGTTTTGGGAATAATGCATTGTTAAGAATGTGAAATAGTGATTCTTTCTAATGTGTTTTCTGTTTCTTGCCAGAGATAATGTGCTCTCTGTTTAGCGTCTAGCATAAATCTCTTAACCATCAACTTCACTTGCTCAACCTTTATCGATGAAGTTTCTTGTGGCTTTTTCACATTTATTTTGCCTGCATCCCTTTATGGCATTATCCAAGATACTCAATTTTTTGTTCTTTCTTTGTCTAGGAGGATTGTGCAAAGACGGGAAAGGTTACATCTGCTGGAATGTATTTTCTTGGCTTCCCTGTCTATCGTTTAGATCAAACTGTCAACTCGGTGAGCTGACTCTTTTAGATATATCACAGTTTTGCTTCTTATTCTTGTTTTGATTTTTCTCATAGTTTTTTGTTTTTGAAATTCTCTCCAGGTGGCTGCTGCGAAGGATCCAGACACAGCTTTTTTCAAAAGACTAGATGGGTTTCAGCCCTGTGAAATAACTGAACTGAAAGCTGGCATGCATGTGTTTGCTGTTTATGGTTAACTCTTCAACCTCTCAGCTTGTTAGTCTCTTGTTTGTTTGGATAATTTACTTGAAGGAACCTTATTATCACCAATTGCTCTGGTACCTTTCTTACAGGTGACAACTTTTTCAAAAGTGTAAGCTACACAATAGAGGCCCTCTGTGCTGCCCGTTTTACGACAGAAAAGGAAAATCTTAGAGATGTGGAAGCACAGATTCTGTCAAAAAGAGTGGAACTATCAAAATTTGAAACTGAATACAGAGAGGTGTTCACATTGAAAAATGCAGTGCATGCTCTATTAGAATTCCTCTTATTTTTGTTGATATTCACATGACTGTTGGCAGGTCCTGGCACAATTTACGGAGATGACCAGCAGATATGCACAAGAAATGCAAGCTGTGAGTCATGATTTGTGAAATGAGCTGTCAGACAGTGAAATTTGAGCTCATCCTTAAAATGAACTCTCTCCTTGTTGGTTTTGCAGATTGATGATCTTCTTAAAGAATGGAATGAAATTCATGCTTCATACACGACTGCCCCACCAATGACGCGAAGCTCAAGCAGGAACAGAAATAAGGGTATCCCCAAGGAAGCCAATGAAGATAGCAAAATGAGAGAAACAGTAGAAACAAGAGAAAAGAGGCCTAGCGTGAGGGATAGAACCAAGAAGAAGAAATGGTTCAACATCCACTTAAAAGTTGACAAGAGAAAGCCTTGCTAAATCAGTAAGATGCATTTATCCTCTCTAAGCATCTCCCCAAGTTCAAACTATAGGATCAACCTTTACGCTGTTGGATTCTTTACTCAGGTTATAAAGAAGTTAGCTTGCTTGGGTCCTATAAATCATATTCCTGCACCCACCTTTTACTTGCTGCAATGGTTCAACTGCAACATCCATGCAAAGTTGTATGAAGTTGCATGAACATGTTGGCCAGTTAGGCGAATGTGACATAATAGGGATGGTACACTGTCTAACCTCGAATCTTCAGCATGTCCAGATGACAACATCTCTATGTGATTGTAAAATTCATTATTTATCTTTCTTTTTCCTTGGGATTAATTGGTCAGCATGCCTGTAAATTGCATTTTGCATGTATTATTTTTGAAGATTCTCTTCTAATCTCCTTGCTTACGTTATAAAGCAATGGAAAACCATTGTTCTTGTTCCTGGACTCCTGATGTTTTTCTTTAATTTTATCTCACGTTTGCTTCCCCTTGATAAATCAGGTATTCTTTCAGGGTCGATTCAGATTCGCACGAGACAGGTTTTACCTTGGTAATCGGTGGGGACATGAAATTTGGTTTGCACTTAAGAGAAGATGCAGGGAAGCTTTGTACTTTGCAGCACAGAAGATAAAGTTTCAATTGGAAAATTCAGAACAAGAGTATTTCCTAAGGATGTTCAATACAAAGATGCAGGTTTTTGCTTTAAGAAACCCTCCGGTGTAAAAAAAAATAATAATAATTAATTGCAAGGGCGGTGGCCGAACAAGCAACAGCCACCGCACTCCGCAAAGGAAATTACCTAATCACCGACGTCAATCTTCTCAAGTGTTGATGTTATTGAATTGATCACATCTCCGCCGCACCTCCCCTTTCTTCCCCGTCTTCACCTTGTAAACGCTCACCTTCTCCATCGCATGAGAAAACGCCTCGAAGAATGCCTTCTGGTCCGCCGCGTACAAGGTCACGAACGGCTTCGTCCTCTTGTCCACGACGAGGTCATTGTCGACCTTGAGCAGCCCCAATCCCCTCTGCAAATTCTTGAAGTACATGTTGTCAAACTTTCCTGGCGTGATAACGTCGTTGAAGGCGGCAAGTTCTAGGTTGGCAGTGTAATTTGCGCATAATTTCTTCAATCCTATTGCGAATGCTGGGTCGTATGCCGGGTCGGTTTCCGAGGTCTTACTAAAGTTGAACAATCTGTCCGCGAACTCTTTACAATGGGAGAAACCAATGGTATGTGCTCCCATGAGTGCAACCATTTCTTGAATTGAGAATCCATTCGCCGCAAAGAGAGGGATTATCTGATTTATCATTAAGGATATGTTTGGATAGAATGTTAGTAAAGGAAATGAAGGGGAAGGATTAGTGTTAATCTTGTTTTAACAAACAAAAGTGGAGGAAAGAGGACAATAATATTTTTATTTAATTTAATAATTTAAAGAAAAGTAAATTAAAATAAAATATTTTAATTTTACTAAATATTTATATATTTATTTTTAAAAAAAAAACATAAAAAATCAATCTATTGCAATCTCCTTAATTTGGAGATGGAAAATCAAGATAGTGAAAGGAGCGCCCCATTTCTTTTTCTTCCTTTCTCTTTTTTTTATTTTTTTGGCCTAACTAGGAGACTTTTCCCTCTTCCTCCTAATCGTTCAATACAAACTCACCCTTAAGATTTTCGAGGGTGAGAACTAATATTATCAACAAAACTGTCAGAAGGATAAATATAATTTTCTTTAAAAATTCAAGAAAATTATTTTCTTTTGATATATAGCCAGATGGGAGGCAATTCCATGAGGGTTGGTAGCTTGTATTACTTTAACCGTTTTTTAAGTTCGAGTCAATTTGCTAACAACCCTACTAATTAAATAATTGTTGAAGCTAATGACCTGCCCTGCCACGCTTATCATACCTTGAATTTTAGCATCCGAAAAATGGGAATCCAATGTCCTTTGTCTTTATCTTCATCATTGACAATACCTAAACTTTTAGATAAGACCTCAAATTCTCTTTGCGGGTTATTAGGTTAGAAACCTAATTGGTAAGTTTAAAAGGTAAGTGACTCGAATGTTTTCTGAGTTGTAAAAGTTAATATGTCTAGGGGACATTTACCCAAGATATCTACCTGATCTACTGACATTTCGGCGGTGGCGAGATGGCCGTTGACGTTGGAAATGAGGGACACCAAGCTGTCTTTCCGTCCCAATCGAATATCGTAACGGGGCCCACCGACCATGGTAATGAGGTTTCTCGTCGCCACCGCAAGGATGTCGGAACAGGAGACAATCCCTGGGCATTCAAGCTCAATTGCGGTTTTGGCGCGTGTGACTAAGTCGAATGCATCTCCAGGGAGGGAGAGGTTGATATCTGCATCGCGTTCGCCCTTGTTGAAAGCATTGGAGGCGATGAGAATGGAGGCGTCGCAGCCCCCCACCATGCAGTCATGGAAGAAGATGCGGAGGGTGCCAGCGGCAGTGGTGGGGGCTGACATTTGCTTGTCGAAGACGACCTTTTCCATGATGGAAAAAAAACTGGGGCATGTTTTGTTGTAGTAATCGGGGCTGAGTTTGGATTGTGTAGGGGAAGGAAGGGAGAAGAAAGGGAGGAGGAGGAGGAGGAGCGAAAGGGAAGGAAACTCCATGGTTATGAGAATGGTGGAGGGAGTGGAGGATGGGAGAGATGTTAAGGGAATTATGTTTGTGCGAACAATGGCGAGAGAAACATAGGAGGGAAAGTGACTGGAAGGGAGAATTTAGAGGAGGGAAAGGTATATTTTTGGAGAAAGAAGGAAATGGGGAGAGAAGAGGAGGAAAAGAGATGGGCTGTGTGCTTGCATTGCAAGGTGACAGAGGGATTAGGGATATGGGTTTTGACTCCCATGGAAATAATGGTTCTCTCACGGCTTCCAAAAATGGTATCATGCAATTTTTTTTTTCAATGAATCAAAAATGGTATCAAATTCTTAAAGCTCAAACCTGATGGTTAGGCACTAACTTTTAAAAGTGGTTCATGTTGGTCCTCAACCTAATTGTAGCAATTTGATTTGGATTGTTGTCCTCTTCTCACGGTTACTAGCTAAAAAGGGGTAATCTACAATTTAGTTGTCATTTCTCCATGAATCTGCAGAAAACATTTAGAGGTTTTAGTATAATTTTATTTTAATTATATTAATTCAAAAAAGACTATCTAGTGAATATGTTTCTTTTACAGGGATACAAAGTGGATTGATGGTTAAAATAAGATTTTTTTTGGCAAAAAGGGGTAAAAATGGGATTTAAGTACTTAAATATTGTTATTGTATGTTGCCTCCATATTAAATAAACACTCTATAATTTTGTCAAATTTAAACACAGCAATCATATAATTATAATATTACATAAAATTATAAATTTATAATCCAAAAGTGTTATTATATATGGTTACATATAACATCAAAGTGAGTTTTTAAATAAAAAGAAAATCGATTATATAATAATAGGTCAAAATTATAAAATTATAATACTACATAGGTGACATTGTAAGCATATTATTTTTATTTTAAACATGATAACTACTTTTATTTCAAACTAAAGAAAGTGTATACTACATATGTGGCAATATGTGTGCAAGTTATATATTTTAAGTGAAACCATGTGATTTAAACATATACTTCATTAAATGAGTTACAAACTCCAGTTCGTATCATTAATAATCAAGTTGGACTAAAACTAGATAAATTTAGTCATTAGTCTACTAATCATTTTATTATTTTAGTTAAAAAGTTAATTTATTTTCTCCTAAATCAGTCTGCCAGCTTCAAAAACAATGTGGAAAACAATTTTTTTTATCAATAACTTCTTTAATAAAATATTCATCAAAATAAACTTCTTTGATAGAATATGTTTCTTTCGAACTTTTCCCAGCATCCTTTGAAAGGTAGAATTGTAAAAAACATTTAAATTAAATAATTGTCCAGGAGAACTTACAGAACAAGTGGAAGAGTGCTACGTGTAAGGAGCGGATCAAGCACAACTTGTCAAGAGTGGCGGCCCAATTATATGGTGGTATTTGTGGCTTGGAAGAAATAAAGTATCTTTTAATGAGGAGCTCGCATGGACGGTTTCCAATGAAAGCAAGTTGAAGCACTACCTCTCGGAAGCGGCAACACATTTGAAGAAACATCGCGCGTGCGCAGCCCAAAAGAGTTCATAAAGTGGGGATGGGATCCTCCACCACAGGAATCTGTTAATGTTGGTGGATCTGCGCTCGTGGTATGCCAGGGATTTCAGTTGCAGGTGGATGCTGTCGAGCCTCTTCAGGCCAATTAATGGGTGTTCAGATCTATACAACAACTTGGGGTGGGACACACCATTAGACCTGAATTATTTGCTG